GGTGTAACGGAACGAATTGCTAGGCACCTCAAGAAGAACGACATCGTAGTGCGGTACGGCACGGTCAGCAAAATTCGGAACACACTCCCGATAGCCAAGGACAAACTAACTCCATTAAAAGGAGCGGGAGTCTATCGACTATCGTGTAGTTGTGGGAAGGTTTATGTTGGCCAAACTGGACGCAACGTCGAGTGCCGCATCAAGGAGCATGAGAGGGATGTAAGGCTGAAGAAGATCCAGCAGTCGGCGGTTGCGGAACATTGCCATGCAGAGGGGCACCGAATAGATTCCGAACAAACAAAGGTGCTGGCTAGGGACAACAGATACTACCAAAGACTGACAAGAGAAGCCATAGAGATCCACCGACATAAAAATAACGTTAACAGAGAGGATGGCTGGGAGCTTAGCAGAACATGGAAGATGGTGGTGAACACGAAGACCACTTCCCGCCTCACACCGGACGCGACGCAATTAGTTATTAATTAGCTTGTAATTAGCGTTAACTGAATATTCATTATTTTTTCCGACTTATATATAGTTACCGATTTTTGATCTCGTCACTTCGAACCAGTTTCTGAAGAAGGTTGCAACATGGCATCCGAAACGTCAAACCTTTTATTAAAAGACGCACGGCAAAACCCGAAAGTTTCTAGTGTTAGTTCTAGTTTTAGTTCTAATTTTAGTTAAAAAAAAAATAAATTTAAATTAACTTATAAATATTTTTTACCCTTTAGCTCCCGGAACGCCATAAGGGACTCTTCCAGGTGCAGGAGACGCGTCATAAATATGATTATAATCATCTTGCGGCTCCCTTTCCAACGTTTGTATCATCCTAAACATATCCATTGTTAACTCTGAAAATTTAACTTGTTCCGATGAGCTGCCGACTATTAAAATTTCTTGTAGCGTCAAAGACATAAACTGAGATTTTTCAACGGGCGGTGTAGTGAGCGGACTGAGCCTATGGGATAAAACGATCGGGTTTGTATCGGGATGTAAAACTGAAACTAGGGAATCTGCGTTAATAAAGGCTTTGATCTCGTCGAGCACCAGGCTCCATTCGATTTGGTCGTCCGGTTCATAGGTGCTCGTGTAATCGGCTATGTGCCGATCGAGTTCGATTATTAACTCTCGAACGAGCTTCATCCTTCGTAGTAATAAACACACTACAATAAATCGAGCGTAGTAACGTAATTTTTTTACCATAAGTTCCGATCTACAACATTATTAAAAAAAAACAATTTTTTTTTGATTAAAATTTTTTTAAATGTTACCTATCTTCTTTTGCTGCTCGAGAATAATAAGCTCTACCTCTTATGGCTGCGTAAAACGAGTATGCTTCATTCAAATAATTGGTCTCACTAGTTCTTAAACTGCAAAATTTAAAGAATAAGAATATCATTTATGGAATGATTAAGAATGTTATAAACAATTTAAGAACATCATACAGCGATGCAGCTCGGGAAGCACCTTACAACATTTTTCTTTGAGTAGTAAAACAAAATTATATGTCAGATTCTTCACATTTCGTGGAATCAATCAAAATGATCAAATTTACCATGAAAACCTTTCTTGGATGCTTTGGTCTACCTAGGGGTAATACTTGACAGTAAACTAAACTGGAACTCACACTTAGATAAGGTGAGGAAAAAGGCCATCATGGCAAACCAGATCTGCCGCAGGCTCCTAGGAAGGAACTGGGGTCTCAAACCACGAATGGCTCATTGGGCCTACGTAGCAATAATCAGACCCATGGTCGCCTACGCCTCATTGGTTTGGTGGCCAAAAACAAAACATAAGACAGCTCAACAACAGCTGGCACAAATCCAGCGGTTAGCATGTCTTAACATAACGGGTGCAATGAGATCCTGTCCGACGGCTGCTTTGGAAGCCCTACTCGGTCTCACACCGCTCCACATATATATACAAAAGGAGGCAGCCTTAAGTGCCTTATCACTGAAAACAGTTTCTTCACTCAAGTTGATGCAGGGTAATCTCAGAGGACACCTCGAGATCCTCAAAGACCCATGTCTAAATCACCTGATTGAAATTAAAACGGACCTTATACCGACGGAATACAATTTCAACCAACCGTATAAGGTCATATTTAGTAGCAGGGATGATTGGGCGAAAGGAGGGCCTCAACTAAAAAGAGGAGCCCTAGCCTGGTACACCGATGCTTCAAAGACAGTAAGATCTGGAGTAGGCATGGGCATCAGTGGACCAAATAGCCACATCAAATTGCCCCTCAGCTCGGACTTAACAATTTTCCAAGCAGAAGTTCTTGCTATAAACTTCTGCACCGCTTTGAACCTACAGAAGGGACAAAAAGGTGCATCCATAAACATTTTCACAGACAGTCGGGCCGCCTTAAAGGCAATTCAGGCCTACACGTGTGGCTCCGCACTGATCAGAGAGTGCACCAACAACCTGAGAGAACTCGCTAGGGGCAATGATGTTACCCTATGGTGGGTTCCAGGTCACAGCAACATTGAGGGCAATGAGAAGGCCGACAAGCTGGCCAAAGAGGCAGCAAACACGCCCTTCATTGGACCCCAACCTGGATGTGGACTACAAAAAAGCCACCTAAAACAAATAATCAACAACTGGGAGGCTTCAAAGATAGCCTTACGCTGGAAAGAACTTCCAGGTCACAGACAAGCGAAGAGTATGATAACTCCGTCGCAAAACAAAACCAAAGAGGTTTTATGCCTCAGCAAAGGGGATCTAAGAACGCTCTCAGGCTACCTAACCGGCCATGTGCCCCTAAAATACCACCTCTTCCACATTGGACAAGCTGAGGATCAAACTTGTCGACTATGCAACGACGAGTCAGAAACTGCTGAACATATACTGTGCAATTGCGTCGCCAGAGGCCGTCTAAGGCACAACGTCTTCGGTAAAACTCCCCTGTTACCTACCGACATAAAGGTTCAAGACCTCAGGACAATACTAAGGTTCATTAAGGACCTACATTTGCCCCAAACCTTTGGAGGGCTAAAGTTACAATAGATCTTATAGGTCGCGGTAACGAGAGGGGCCGCCCTCCTCAGCCCGGCAGCAATAATAATAATAAAATGGATGCTTTGGTCACTAGGAAGACAGATTTAAAAAGGTCATCATCGTTTACAACAGAATAAGTCAGTGATCCAAGCCGTATTTCAGCGAGGAGAAAGGATATGCGTCGAAAAGAATTTGAAGAAAAAAGAAGGATTTCTAGAAGATGTATTTCCGAAAAACAGTTACACTCTGATAGATATCCAGCGAGCCATCAAACAATGTAAGCAGAGGGAAGACACAGTAAGTACTGTATATAGCAGCCAGATTTATCTGCCTCCCTTATATGTCAAGTGTGACGGAGCGGATTGCAAGGTCAGTAAAAGTCGGAACGTAAAAAGCCAAAGTGGACGTAAAATCGAGTGCCGCATCAAGGAGCAAAAACCAATTTTTTTAGTTACAGGTATCTTTATAACATTTTCAAAACGCATTAAAATCAATTTTTTTAATACTTTTATTTTGACTTGCATCAATCAACTTTTCTTATAGTCCAAACTCTTTGAACGATCTGAAAAACATCCCCACGAACTTTGTTAATATCTACCGTCTTTATCAAGTAATATAAAACTGTTTTCTATTGATTTAAGACATTTAGACACACAGCAATCAACTTGTTCTATTCGTTGGTATCTTTGTAGGAGTTTCAAAAACATAAAAATTGATTCTCTTTAATTCATTCATCCTACATCCGTCATCTATAGATGCTTTTAGCTGATTAGAACCATTTTTACTTACACTAATCAACTTTTCTCATACTCCAAACTCTTTGAATGTTCTGAAAAGTATCCCCTTGAACTTTGTTAACATCTACCGTCTTTATCAAGTAATATAAAACTGTTTTCTATCGATTTAAGTCATTTAGACACACAGCAATCAACTTTTTCTATTTGTTGGTATCTTTCTAGCAGTTTCAAAAACATAATAATTGATTTGCTTTAATTCATTCAACCTAGATATGTCATCTTTAGATGCTTTTAGCCGATTAGAACCATTTTGACTTGCACCAATCAACCTTTTTCATACTCAAAAATTTTTGTAACGTCTAGAAAGCATTTCCATTAATGTTTTTGATATTTTCCGTCTTTATCAAGTGATCTAAAACTGTTTTCAATTAATCTAGGTCATTTTCTAAATGGATAGCCATGATTTCGGTGTCTACTCAATGGATTGAGTACTAAAGTTATGATTTTAACTACAGTTCTTTGAGTTAAACTGCTTCCAATTAATTGGTTGTGTCTACCTTCTGTCTGCTTGGGTCTCTTTCCTCTCTTTCCAAGTTCTGCTCAATCTCTTTCTGCCACTAGTCTCCTTCTTTTATCTCCACTCAGTGTCACTCTGTTTCTAGTATTTTTCGCGAGTCTCTTGAAGAAACTTAACTAGCTGCTTAGAATTAAATACGAATCATGGACTGCGTTTTTCTATCAAATGCAGAAAAATCTCTTAACCAATTTGTACTTTGAAGATGGTACTTAATAGCTACTTGAGGTTGTCTTTGATGTGGTGATGAAAGAGGAATTTTGCAAGGAATTGATGCAAGACTTCATAAAATTATTTGGATTTATATATATAAAAACGCTTATTTTTAACTGAAAATTAGTTGAGAGTTTATGAAGAATACAAAAAAGTTAAAACCTATCGTAAAGTTATTCTGGTGGTTCCATTTTCTATCTACAATAAGGATCACCTAGAATTGTCGATTTCCGCGGTTTGAAAAGTTGCGAATCGTAAGTAAGTTTCCTTGCCAGTGGAGGACTGGTTGCTTGTAATAAGTAAGTTTTGGAAACTTTTATTTTCCTGCAGTGTTTCCTGGATATTGAAAAAGCGCCAACAGGCGTTGGAACGCTTTCTATGCGACCCGCGCACATTTTCTCTTTTTTTTTCTGGTGATAAAAACACCGTAAAATAAGAAATGAAAGAAGTCGAATAGATAAATCTTTCCATAGAATGTTAAAAATGAAATAAAACTAGGGATAAATTTAAACTTACTAATAATGGTAGTAAAGTTGACCAATCTTAGACGCAATTTCGCCAATCTGCCACCTTTTCAACCCATATTTACTATCCAAAACTTGGCGATGTTGCTGTTGAAACTTCCAAAGTTTCGTGTATATGTCGAAAGTTCTGCCAAAATAAGCCTGCCACTGTTTGTGGCCATACTGTGGCAAATCTCTGCAAAATTACAAAATCAGACTCAACTAATTCACTATCAATCTTATAGGTAGAATTTAAGAATTAGTAAGATTTTTCCTACCTTAACCCGTTGAAGAGTTGTTTCGACTTTTCCAGTAGATGACAGAACTCCATTACGATTTTTCTCTCGTGGTCGTCCATGCTCGCCATTCCTACCATGTTTTTCCGCGGCACTCTTTAATTTCTTTCGCCCGTTATCACCCCCTCGAAACAATCATATCGTCGCTTTCTCGGTGCGTGGACACCTTCTTTAGCGATCTGCCTCCGCGAAACGTTAACGCGGACGACAGACGGACGACATCATCATGGACGACGACAGCGCCGCGACGTCGACGGCGCTATTACGTCACCCTATTTATCACCACCCGGTTAACTTTTTAACCTCAACCAACCTACGAAAAGATAGGGAACTTTAAAACGAACCGACTTTATTAAGGTGTGACTCATTTAGGAATACTAATTTATGGGGGCGTTTGTATACTTTAACGTAGGCGTTTTTGAGGGGGTGTATTTTGGTTTTTTGTTTTAAATGTGGGCGATGATGATTATTTCCTGACGTATTACTTTTGTGTTGGCTGCGAAAATCAATAGGGGTGTTGGTTCGGGCGACATCTTTTGATGGGTGGATAAAACGAAATTTTTATTAGTTAAGGGTTGTTTTTGATGATAAAATTACAGAATTTACAGAATAATTTTCAAGTTTTTTTATAGTAATGATTAAGAGATGGTGGGTTGTATTGCATCAATTTTCTTTTTCTTTTAATAAAACAAAAAGTTTCAGTAAAATTCTGTTACATCAGATTGTTTCCAGTGTTTTAAAATACCATTGGATAATCCTTGGATCTTTATATTCACAAATAAGATTTAGACAACTTATTAAGTTTTGTCATTTTATGACATTAGTTGGGTTAGGTGAAAATGACAGACATCTATTGTTAATTGTTTTCAAGAGAAAAGTAATTAAATTATTATTGATTATTATATACCATCTTAAAAAATATGTTTTAAGCTTTCATTTGACGTATAGATCATTCCTTCATTTTCACAAATAAGGTTTAGACCAAGGACAGTAGAATCTAACAGGACTGCTACATCCATTGTTGTGACAACCTGCCCGCAAACTACGTCACACCATTTTCCACGCCCAGCTGTTGTTATGGTCTATGTGTTTGTTGTGTATTTTTAGAGGTTATATCCTAGACGTATTCATATTATTTTTGAAGTTTTATGTTTTTAGACGTATTAATGTCTATCATATAACCTCTAAAAACGCAGACAGTTACCAGGCGTGGCAAATAGTGTGACGTAGAGTGCGGGCAACCAATCCCTAGTGGACTACAAAAATACAATGGATGTAGCAGTCCTGTTAGATTCTACTGTCCTTGG